ATGGGTGCTATGATTACGGTCCAAGAGGAGTGTCGATGAGAATGGTACGGTAGAGGTCTTCATAACCATGAGTAAAATCCATGCCAGGAATGGTCTTCATCTCCTCGAAGTAGCCAAGAGGATCACATCGTGCAAGAAGATCCTGAGTGACCATACCACAGGGAAGAAGCTATACGCCTTACCTTAGGATTCTTGTTGTTGATGGTACCCTGAATGAGCATTACCACGTTGTCAATCATAGCCTCTTGACGGACATAATCCATGAACCTACAACGGTTAAGAATGAACACATCCAGTATATTGAGTATTGGCCACTTACTTAGCCATCTCGCCGACTGATTGAGCTCTGACATAATCGAACTCCTCAGCGAGACGCTCATGGCACTTCCGCAAGATAGTAGAAGCCTACAGAATTGGAGGAAATCGTCCACAATGGACACCGTTGTGATAACAACTGACCTGAAGAGGACTGGGCTCATCCTGGAGGAAAGTGCCATAGTCTGTATCTTCTAAAGCTGTTCGGAGATCTGAGAGAAAACTCAATAGCATGCGGAACCTCGAATGTAATAACGAATGGTACCTTCCAAGTTTTCTCCATTGGCAATACGACGGTAATCATCTGCTGTGAGGAAGCCCGAACGAAGACCTCTTACGAGACCCTCTCCTAGACCGTCGTCGATATTGAAGTAAACTAAATCAGCCATAGGGAATGTAGCAATACCAGAACAACTACCACGGCTGATACTCAATACGCAGTCTATGACGACGACTATCAGTAAGATAGATAGGTTCCCAACACAGCGTAGTCGTCTAAAATACTCACTGACTCCACCGGTTACAACAACCCTATGGACGTACGTGAGAAGAGCGCTCGAAAAGCTTCACAGGCTAGACACTGATGTTATTAAACGCGGCAACGACAGTGAAGTATACAACAGTACCTCTCTAGCTATCACGACAGGTGCCAAACCAAGGCCCCAGCGTCCGCCCGGGGGCGCTGCTCAGCGTTGGCTGAGCTCATCTTGCTATCTCGAAAGTTTGCATTTCTAAATTTTACAGTGGCGCGCGCTTTATTCTGATCGATTATTAAAACATTGGGAGGGTTATATATAGTGCATTTTCTTCGTCGATGGAAGGTTTGTGGTGTTGTTTCCTCTGCATTCTCCGAGATGGGTGGGCTCCTGTCTCATCCGGATACTGCCGTTAATTTACCGCGGCCTGCCAACGGCAGCTTTCAAGGCAATGTGGCCACGCTTTAAGGTTGGAGCCTCCAACTTGGAGGTATCTCATGAAGATGCGCACTGCATAGGTTTGGACTGGGGCTCCACTTAAGAGGAAGGCTCCCTCGCAGTACTCGATGGGCCATCGACGATGGCCATACTGGGGAGCTCCCAGTGGGGACGATGCTGCTGAGTTTTGCTCTAATAATCGTCAATTCGTTGCATTGTTCCTCCACTACCATCAGAAAGGAGAGGAGGTTCGGTCTAGCACGGGTTCTTCATTCAGGTGACGCCTCTAAGTAACGGCAAGTATAAAGTGCGCATTATGAACGCTGGAGACTCCCTACACTGGTGTTAGCACGTTGATATGGGTAAGCGCGTTGATATGACGGAGCTGGAGAACGCTTAAGAAGACAAGGCAGCTGTGCAATGATGACAGTACTGAGCCCAGTAGTGACAGGGGTATATTCGGGGCTGGAGATATGCTGGGGTCGAAAAAGAATCTTTCGGCACTTACGGAAGCTGACGGGGTCTGTTGGCTGCCAACAGACCCAGTCACGTAGGATCATGAGCCTGACGACCCTGAGGGAAAGGCTCGGATAGAGGGAGGTGACAGGATCGTGAGCGCGGGGGGCCCGCAAGGTTGTGCGGTGTATTAGCCTTGTCAAGGGTGTTCGGCGATTTCGCGTATAAGGATGATGCAAATCGCCGTGATGACAAACGGAAGTGTATCGCTGTACCGGAGGTGAAGGAGGTCGTTTGTGAGGCTGGCGACCGGGTAGTACTGGCTTGCATTGGGGTATTCGATGTTATGTCCAATGAGGATGTGGCGCGTGAGATCATAGGTACTGGCTCATAGCGGAAGTGGTTTGGCCGAGATAGCTTCTGAGATACTCCAGCGCTGTCTCAATTTATTGGGGTCTACAGACAACATGACATATATGGTAATTAGAGTGGAAACGAGGGACTTCGGATTGAAGGAGCAACAGGGAGAGCTTCAGCTGGGTCGGTACTCGTCTGTGCACTCTTCAGCATTGGATATGGCTGAGAAGTACCAGGTGTTCTTTAGTGAGGTGGGGTTCAGTACAAACCAAGCCGCATGTAGTATATGTTCGAGAGTGTATCGGAATATGGCGCAGTGTCTATGTGGATATGCCGTATAGTGCGGAGTGACATATCGAAAGAAGGGTTGGAAATACCACAATGTGTGTAAGGCAGTGAAGGGTGATGTTTGTGCAACCCGCTGACCAAGTCAGCATTCCCTTCACATATGTGGCTCTCGGAGAGCCGCTCGGGGATCACCATCCCTGCTCGAGAGAGCCGCTCTCCAGAGCAGAGATGGTGATCCCCCGAGAGACAGCACAGTTATATAATATCACTTCCGGCCATAATCCACGCGGAGTGCTGGCTTGAGAGCCCTGAACAGCACGGAGCGCAGCCAAGATTCTCTCTGCGTCCTTGCTGTCTTCTAACAGTAGCCCCAACCCTCCTTCTCTCAAAGGAAAGGCACTAATAATCACTATCCCCCTGGCAGCATGCTGAGCGTCTTCTCCTTAAAGACTTGGGCGTCCTGTGGAGTGCGAGCAGTCCTATTTATGGGCTTGACCTCCACCACGCACTGCGCTGTCGTGGACCTCTTGGCTTTATCCAATGCCATCCTGTGAGACACTGATAGTGTCTGAGTGACTCTGGTTCTCCGATCGCTCAATGCACCGGCCCGTACACTGGGCGCCGCGGCAACGAAAGTAAGAGGCGGACCACCAAAAGAATGGGACGCAGCGAATGTGGGAAAAGTAAAGGTTATCAATGGTGATTACTTTTACCTCGTATACTGTACATACTATTCCATTGTTACTTGTTCGGTGGTTCTACTCTGCCTCGTTTGTGACGGGGTTGCTGCTGCTATTGATGATTATAATAGTCACTGTGCAGCACAGTCTGTGCTGGGCCAGCACTGCTGGCTCAGCACTCTGCTCAGCACTGCTGAGCAATCGCCAGTTGCAGCCAAATGATAAGCACTGCGTAAAGTATTGATCAGACTGATCAGACATGATACTGAGTATCGGAAAGAGCGATGTAGCCGTCGCTGCTATCTGGGCATAGCCGATGCGCGGCGCGCGAAATACAGAATGTTCCTACAAAATACAGAATGTTCCGTGGTTCCGTGGCACCGACGGTTCCGTAGCGCGGAACCATGTCTGTAATATTCCCGCCCTTCCCCGGCGTCCGGGTTATGGGCTCCCCCATGAGCACGTGCATGTTTATATATTCCCATGACTGAGTCAACAAGGTTTGGGTTCGGGATTTCGAGTGCTATTAGTGTGAGTTGTGTTTTAGTGATCAATACTATTCACTACAATTTTGGTACTGGAACTGAGAATTTTTTCCTCGTGCAGGTATTGTAACTTCGTGGACAATCTCTTTGGTGCAGAATCTTTGTGAGTTGTGT